AACTCGAAAAAATAGAATATCGTGCAAAAGTTCATTTATTTCAGTAATGCAACTTAAAAGGTGAAACTAATAAATGAGATAGACTCATTAAATGCAAAGCAAGATAGTTCAAACCGCAAATCCACAATCTCAGAAAATTAGAATATTACATGCAATCAATAAAGCAAGGATTGTACATAGAACTCTGAAAATTATAAGCATGCATATGTACTCAGTACTTGGTTTGGGCCCCTTTTGCAGCAATTACTGCCTCAATGCAGCGTGGCATGGAAGTTATCAGCCTGTGGCACTGCTGAGGTGTTATGGAAGACCAGGATGCTTCAAGAGCAGCCTTCAGCTCTTCTGCATTGTTCGGTCTCATGTCTCTCATCTTTCTCTTGGCAATGCCCCATAGATTCTCTATGGGGTTCAGGTCAGGTGAGTTTTCTAGCCAAACAAGCACAGTAATCCCACGGTCATTGAACCAGGTTTTGGTGCTTTTGGCAGTGTGGGCAGGTGTCAAGTCCTGATGGAAAATGAAGTCAGCATCCCCATAAAGCTCGTCTGCAGAAGGAAGCATGAAGTGCTCCAAAATCTCCTGGTAGACGGCTGCATTGACCCTGGACTTAATGAAGCACAGTGGACCAACACCAGCAGATGACATGACTCCCCAAATCAGCACAGACTGTGGAAACTTCACACTGGACTTCAAGCATCTTGCAGTGTGTGCCTCTCCATTCTTCCTCCATACTCTGGGTCCTTGGTTTCCAAATGAGATGCAAAAGTTGCTCTCATCAGAAAAGAGGACTTTGGACCACTGAGCAACAGACCAGGTCTGTTTATCTTTCTTTAGCCCAGGTAAGATGCTTCTGACGTTGTTTGTTGTTCAGGAGTGGCTTGACAAGAGGAATACGATATTTGAAGCCCATGTGAAAGTCCCCAACACTTTTGAATGGCCTTTTCCTGACAATCCTCTCCAGGCTGTGGTCATCCCTGCTGCTTGTGCACCTTTTTCTTCCACACTTTTCCCTTCCACATAACTTTCTATTAATGTGCTTTTATACAGCACTTTGGGAACATCCAACTTCATTTGCAATTACCTTTTGAGGCTTTCCCTCCTTATGGATGGTGTCAATGATGGTTTTCTGCACAACTGTCAGGTCAGCAGTCTTTCCCATGATTGTGATTCCTACTGAACCAGACTGAGAGACCATTTAAAGGCTCAGGAACCCTTTTCAGGTGTTATGGCTTAATTAGCTGATTAGAGTGGGACACTTTGAGCCTAGAATATTGCACCTTTTCACAATATTCTAATTTTCTGAGATTGTGGATTTGGGGTTTTCATGAGCTGTAAGCCATAATCATCACAATTATGACAAATCACGGCTCGAACTATCTTGCTTTGCATGTAATGAGTCTATCTCATATATTAGTTTCACCATTTAAGTTGCATTACTGAAATAAATGAACTTTTGCATGATATTCTAGTTTTTCGAGTTTCGCCTGTATATCTAAAGCCAAAATATTTTTTGGATAGGGTCAAATTTTTTTCCTGCCATCTTTGCAAAAACAGAAAAGTGGAACAAGGCGCAAGCATAGCACTTCTTAAATTATGAAATTCTCATAAAAGTGTGAATTGCACTCATCATTTACTAAATTGGAATGAATACAGTTGTAAGCCAAGAGACATGATGTGGTAGAAATGCATTGTACTACTATTGTATTTTTGCAGATTTTCTTGGTTAATTTCAAATAAAAAATAAACAATGTTAACACCAGCACTTTTACAAAGCAATATAAAAAATATAACCAAGTACAGCTGCTGTAGTTAAATATCAACAGTGTCAAAAAAGAGAATAAATATAACAAAACAGTGCTTGTACTTAGCGAAAGTTAAAATGCAAATAATAATAGACGTCTATTAAAAGTCCTAATAAGCTTGTCTGCAATGTCCTTATTTACCCACATGCTTCTATGAAATAAATGAATAAAATGTGCTCCTTTCCACTGTGCCCACAGTAAAACACTCCACACTCACCGGACCAACTTGACCCCTTGTATAAACATCTAAGTCAAATTGATGTAACAATACACAGATAGAGAGAAGTCAGAATCACCATACAGCCAGAAAGGATTGCCAGGGAATATTGTTTCCCATACCACTTCAACCGGTCCCTCTTTGTCTCTGTTCAGTTCTCTCAGTACTATTGTATCATATTAATCCATGAGAAAATTACAGTTAGCTCCATATTGATGAAGAAAATAAATATAGCAAAAATCAATAATAATAAAAATGTTTTACTCTATTGTTACCTAATAATTATAAGCTAAACATAATTATTTCATAGAAGATTATTTCATAAAAATACAACAATAAAAACCATAAAAACCCCTAAAACTGGTGGCAGACTAATTAATAGTTAGATAAAAAAAAAACTAAAATCAATGTTTAGGCCGTCAGGATCACAGATCGTAAATATATAGGGTTTAGTTTTTAGATACAGCCTTTCTCATATCCATATCTCTCCAGTGTCTATCTATCTTGTCTATCCCAAAAAAGGACAAATGTCTAGGATCTCTGTTGCGGTATTGTTAGAAATAGATTTGAAAAGCTGTGTTTTAGTACCCTTTTTTTTACATTTTTTATGTTTTCACCCAGCCTGACACTCAATTTCTGGGACATCGACCCACATATTGAAGCCCACATGGGCATTTTAAAAGATAGGTAACATAGGTAGCAAGTATCCAAGATACAGGAAAGTACAAAATTCTTGTTTTGTTTTATAATTTTTTTCAATTTGGGTTTCCATTGCTTTTACTTTTTTCTTTAGTTCATATTATTTTTGCATTTCAATGTCTTCTGTCTGGTTTATGTATAGTATTTTTTATTGTTCCCAAGTGAACTGATTGTTTACTTCACATACCAATTCAGATTCAGGGGTAATTGAAAACAAATCCAGGTAAAGTGTACCAAAGCTCAAAAGCAAAAATTGTGTATATATTGTAGCATACAAGTTCTTAGATGAGATGGTTGCATTAGTTTTCTTTTTTAAGGCTTTTGTCCTTTATTTTCATTTGGGAATTCTGTGAATAATGCCCTTCCTATCCATGGGTATCTACACTCACTCCACTGTATCTATGGAAGGAGCCAGGCTAGGCTACAAATATGTCTTCCTCTTTTCATCTTCATTACATGGGGGTGGAGAGAATTAGGCATTGACAGAAGGAAGATTGCCTTGTTATTCTTTCAATTCAGCTCACCAGGAATGACAAGTTCACTACATTCTAGCAAGATCAACACGCATTGTCTGTACTTGCTAAAAATATTTTTGGTGTGAAAACTGAAAACTAATGCAGCAATCACATCTAAGAAATAAACTGTAGTATTTTACATTTTTATTCTTGGGTCTATATATCCTATAAGGAATGCAAATTAACACAGGTTCACATGTTTAAAAATGCTCCTAGGGGTGGAATGAAATCTATGACTGCACTAAGCATTTCATAAACAGCAAGACACACTTTAAAAAAAAATTAACTTTCTCAGAAATCCTATATTTAAATTTGAATGGAAAAGTATTTTCTTTTAATTCAAAAGGAACATTAATACATACTGTAAAACCAACCTCACTGAACCACAATATGTTAATATACAGTGACAGATTCACATTAAAAGCATATTCCACCTTCAAAACAAAAAACTGTTTTAAGACAAGGAAATCAAAGCCATGGAAACTGTTTATGCCTAAAAGCTGTATAATTAAATATTATTCATTTGTCCAAAAAGTGAAGGCAGTCATGTATTATTATTCTTCTACCAAAAGCTTCTGATTAGAGATGTGTTATGCCTTTCTTAATGCTGACATCTTCATTGACAGTTTTTCACCTTACAGCTTTGCATAATAGAAACCATTTACTCTAAAAAATATTGCTATTAACATTTGCTTGCTTTACATAGAAAGTGGGTTTGAGTTACAATGAGCTCCTATCCACCACAGTTAATATACAGTAATAGCTGTACATTTACAGAATATTAAAATGCACAACTTAAGAAGAGGAGAATCATGTTCTTCTGTTAAGGGAGAAGTAGGGCCAAAGTTATTTTGGCCTTACTTCTCCTGTAGGTTACAAGAATGCACTTATTTCTGCACTCCTGTGAACCGTATTTAGCCCGCTGTCGAGTGTGATGTCACTCAATCGGTCCAGACTCTGCAGAGATCCTGATTTTAATGTTGGGACCCACCCAGATGCCTGGACTGGCAGCTGGCTCAGCTTCTCAGGGAGCCACTGAGAGCCTGAGCCAGCTGCTCCTGCACACTCCACAGTCCAGCTCTTAAGTGAGCACTGGAGGGTTAGAGCAGAGAGCCAGGGAAGGCAAATTCAAAATGCTGTCCTATTGCACAACGAAACTCAAAAACTCCCCCCATTCACCAACAATGGTATAATAATAAGGACAGCATTCTCAATTGGCCTTTAATTTATGATAATGAACATCACATTAGGCATGCACTCCCCACTTTTAAGCTATTTTTCTTGCCCAGGGTAGGTGGGCTCCCCTATTTTTACACACCCTGTGCTGGGTCTTGTGGACCTGGGCTGCAATGTTGCTCTTTTTTTATTAATTTATTTTATTTTTATTGCTTTCAATATTATTATAAATACAGCATTTTTCCACACAATAAAACCATACAATTTTCATAAACACATTTTTTCATAACCCCAGCCCCCCCCCCCCCTCCTGTCTCCCAGACCCCCCCCCCCCCCCCCCCTTTTGGTCACTTCTTAATTTAAATCTCTTTTACTTACTCCTCTATTTTATTCCTGAAATCTTTATATCATTTCACTCTCCTCTATCTGTCACTATCTAGGTATCTAGGACTCGATATTTTAAAAACGTCCAACTTTCCCAGGTTTTCTTAAATTGGTTTACATGAAGGTTATAGCATCTACAAATGGCAGTATATATACTGACATTTTTTGTTTAATTTTTTTTTACTAGTAATGGCAGCGATTAGTGACTTATAGTGGGACTGCGGCGGGCATTCTGACACTGGGGGGGAACTGACTAACTGCCACTGACATCGCAATGAAACTAATACAGTGGTCAGTGCTAATAAAAAGCACTGACACTGTACTAATGACAATGGGCAGGAAGGGGTTAACATCTAGGGCAATCAAATGGTAATTGTGTGTGCTGTGTGCTGTTTTACTGTGTATGCGGTTTGTGTTTTACTAGGAAAACATGCTGCTTGGTATTGCTCTGCTATGCAGAGCAATACAAAGCAGCTTGTTGGTGCTGATAGGGGAGAGATCTGTGTTGTTTACACACATACCTCTCCCCTGTCACTGTTACTCTGCGATCACCTGGTGCCGGCGGGGAATCTCTGTCCGGGACCTGGTAATCGACATCTGTAGCCGCCAATGTGTGCATGCCCCCTACCCTGAAATGCAACATCACGTATATAGATGTGATTTTGCGCAGCCCTGCCGCCCTGTAACAGTAGTTCTGCTATAGGGCAATTGGGAACCGGTTAATAAAACATTTGTACACATAAATGTGTACTGCTCCATAATGCTTGCTGTGACAGAAGCATATATCACACCACAAAAGGTGTGAATACACCGTATTTAACAATGTACTCCTAAAGATATCTTAATTCAAAGCTCCCTAAACAGTAAGTTACAGTATAGAAAAATTAATCAATACCCATAAAAAAGAATTGGATTAGTAGTTTGATTGTTTAAAAACTCTATTCCCACTTCGTGCATTAGATTTTCTATATACAAATATAATTATACAATGCACGGCAATGCATCTCAGCACATTGCTGTGCATAGTGCTTAAAAAATGTATTTAAAAAAAAAAAAAAGAGAATAGAATCAAGCACCACAATGCACTGTAACAATGCACCACAGCACACATTAACAATGCACACCAGCACATGTATTATCTGCACCATAAAGAGCTTTCATTGGCAGGGGCGGACTGACAACTCATGGGGCCCCCGGGCAATAGGGGATCATGGGGCCCATGTGTCTTTGCCCACACTCAAAAAAAGTCTATTAAAGGTACCAGGGGCATTTCATGGGGCCCCCTACTGACCCCGGGCAGTGCCCGAGTTCTCGAATGGTCAGTCCGCCCCTGTTCAGTGGTGTGACTAGGCCCTTGGTTTTTTGGTGCACCACAGTGCACCAACACATGTGATATTCTTTACTACAACGTGGGTAGAGCACATGTGTATGTTGTGTGTGTAATCTGTGTGTGTTTTTATTTTACTTTTTTTTACATAACTGTTACTTTGGTGAACCATCAGAATCCTCAGCCTCCTCCTTCTGTCTGGGTACACAAGGGAAAGCGGATTTTCAAGGGGAACCGATTGTGGACACACAGTGAAGAAGAGTGAACAGTAACTTGTCAGCTGTTATTAAAACCATTTACCATTATACAAGTGACCGTAAAAAATGTGGATCAGACCACTGCTTTTTTCACCAACTTGTGACAAATGGCTGTTCAGCCTCACACAGTGCTGTGACTGATTTGCAACAATGATACTCTTTGCCTCACCCTGCACAAATATTTTCCAGCTAACCACAATCTAACTGGGTTTAGTTATCTAAGGAATTAACTCTTTATTGCCACCAACTACTTTTATTGAAAATAAAAGACTTTAAATAAATGTCTGTAAACACACTGTTACCTCAGACAGGTATATCCAGAGATTTTCCATGCAGTAGCAAGACAGGGATTCTTTAAGTTTTGCGTTAGAGCATTAGAGACAATGTTAAAAGTGTTCAAAATACTGTTTTATAGTTAAAAAGGTAACAAAGAGGACAGAAGTGAAAACTCTCCAGCACCTTGTGGGAGCCAATGACAGGGGAGGACCAAGGGATCAGATGTATCCACAGAGTTATTAAATCCCTTAGCCAATGAGGTCCTTCTCAGAAGTCTCTCATCTATGGACAAAACCATAGTACCTGTTCCACTATTGGCTGATGTTCCCTTGAGCAGCTGGTGACCCCAAAAAACAACCAACGAGGACAGAAGTGAAAACTCTCCAGTGCCTCGAGGGAGCCAATGACAGGGGAAGGCCAAGGGATCAGATGTCTGAGGAAAGGGATTTGTCCCTGAAACATGTCCGTAGGCAGACCACACCATCAGTCGGACACTCTGCCACCCTTGCGGCCATATCCATGGCTTTATAGGCTTTACACACATGCTATGTTTGTGAGTATATTTCTTGTTTTTTAATTTATTTAATAAACCTTGGATAAGGCACTAGGAATTTGCGCCACCTGTATGTTTTTTTTTTTTTAAAGGTAATAAAGAGACAACAGTATAACAGCAGAAATAAACAGAAAGCCTTGTAGTGCCACTCCAAGCTACAAGGAAAAGAGGGTCACCCCATCAGTATGTGAAAAGGGGGAGTAGTGTCCAAGATGGTTCCAGTGACTTCAGTGTGGTGAAAGGATGGATGCTGCTCAAACCAGCCCAGAGAGTCATATGTGTAGTATGACCTCAGCCACTGCTCCAGTCACATCCTCTGATGCATTTTGCCCCACCCACCGGAGCTTGGTATGTGACGTGGGCATGTCAGAGGGCATGGCCAGAGTGTTGGCTGAGGCCATACTACACATCTGACTCTCTGGGCTGGTTTAAGTGGCGTCCATCCTTTCAGCACACTGGAGCAAAAACTAGAGGGTCAAAAAATGAAAATACTTATCAAGTCCTGTTTCATCAGATTCCAATTAATGAGCAAGATTGTACAGTGGCTCTCATAGGACTTGACATGTCTTCCTTCAAGAGCTGTCAAGGGTGGTTGCAGACCCCTCTTTTCTGGACCTGGAGGGGAGGTGTTGACAGTTCGAGTTTTTTATAGGTATTGATATCTTTAAATACTTACAAGTTACAGTCTACTAACTTGCATATTATTGTCCAAGTGTGAAATTACCTTTTGAATGGATATTATCATACTACATTGTAGTGACTTTTGGGGGACTATTTATCAAAAACATAATTTCATTCCAACAACAAACCAGCCCAGCCGTCTGTTAAGGGTTAACTTTTCTTGGTTAGAATTCAAATGACCTTCTAGTGAAATTACACACACACAATGAGTAGAAGGGACTCTTTCCAGAGACAATAGACTATTTGAATATCTACAGGTGGTCCCAAGACAGACAATCCTGAGAGCTTATGTGGTGACTATAAGACTAGCAAAAGTATATATTATCAACAAGCGCTATTGTCTATTGGAGTTGAGGAGATTGCACCTACAAAAAATTAATTAGAAAGTCAAGTACAATGTTGGACTTCAAAACAGTGAATCACCACGCATGACCAAATTAACAATACGGAAGACCATACTTGTAAGTCTGAGAAGATTAAACAAAACCTTGGAGAGAGTGATAAGCCAACAGACTTCTCAAAGGAAGGCTACAAGGATAACTGGTTTGTTTACCCTATTATCTTTACAATGGACAAGTAAACAGCGGTTTCCTGTGTCATTCCTAAGACCCAAAAGGTGAAACTCAGAACTTATATTTCTACCCACAAAATCTCTTAAAAAAGAGACACATTATTCACACTTCTTTTCAAACAAAAATATATTCAGCAGAGTTGGGGATTGTATACCACTAAATTGAGTATGAAATGGTGAAAAGTAAGATATTTTGTGATTGGTATCAGTTGTATGTTTCTATCAGAAAGCAAATGTTTTCACACAAGTTTGAACCTCAGGGAAATGAATAACTGAATACACATAAATCTTCTATGGTTCCTATCCAGGACATTATAGATAGAATCAAATATATATTTAGATGAGACGTCTATTTAATACCTAAAATCACCTTGGGTTCCACCCGAGGTATGAGTCATCATAAATACTCACATAGTTTTGTGAACCCTGACTGCCCCCCAGTAGACAGGTGAGAGATAGCTTAGGTACATACACTTCTTGACCGGCCAATCAAAAAGCCTGTTGGGAGGGTCTTTTAGAACAATGGTTTGGATGGTATAAAAAAGCCATGCACCTCGTTTAAAAGAACAACAAAAAAAACACACACAAAAAAAGAGCAAGCTAAGAAAAACAAGCTACCAAAGGAGATCTGAAAAGCTGAAGAAATCTGACGAGGCTGAAATCTATCCCATCTGAAGAACTACTAATTAATCCTTTCAAACTTTTAAAAACTTTTACTAAAACTTCTAACTCTCTGTACTTCTACCCTCCTACATTTTTCCAACTTTACCACCTATTGCACTATATCTCACCTGCTCCCTGCGGCCATTACTGAAGGCGTTTCAATTGCCAGCTGAATCCACTGGGGAGGCGTCATAATCCAGGTTCTGGGTGTGGTGAGACTGTTTAGATCTAATATTGTATTGTATATTTCCTCTGTTGCTTAGAGTGATAATAATTACATTAGAGTGATAATAACTGCATTGGGTGTTCATATATAGATAGAGAGATCCATATTATTACTGCTAGAAATTGTTTGGTGTCATATTAAAAATTTACATATTGCATAAATAATTAATTTTTATTGGTTAGAGTACAATTTATCAGGGAATATTTTCTCCCATTCCTATGGCCACGTTTTGGGAGAAAATGACCTCTGAAGTACTCTAAAATTACCATTTATCGCTAAATTTAATTTTAATCTTTATTACCATATTTAGAACATTGTTTGGTGTATAATATTGGTATAGTATATCTTTGATCGTGTGTACCAGTATCCATTTATTACCAGTCTTTTGCGTTTTTGTGTATATATATATATATATATATATATATATATATAATTTTTGTACATAAATAAATTTATATATTTATTTATTATAAGGCAATTTTTGTGTGTATGGTACGAAATCATATTGGCTAAAAGGAGTCAAGGTATAATTGGGAGTGTCTAGCCGTAGGGCTAGACAGGGTCCCATCACCACTGCTGAGGACGATCTGACGGGCTGTGGAGGAATAATTTAGCATCTTTTTGGCTCATTGGTCCTGAGGGGCCTGGGCAGGAAGGTGAGGGGGCACCCTGGCATTGTGGATTGACATCTCGTGGTTTTGCACTCAGTGTGGAGCACGTGCACAAAGAACCATCCATGTGTTTGTTATAACGTGGAGACCTGACTGTATAGTATGTGTGTGGACTGCACTATATAATATTGCTCACAGCACTAAGAGTTTATTTAGATATACCCCATATCAAGGGTATCACCATTATTGCATGTGCATTTATATGTATATTGGCACTTCTTCTCTAGCGCTGCACTACTTATCCCTATTATATTGTATTTTGTGCTTTGGTTGTAGCATTTCAAGTGCTGGCTGCTTTTAGCGATAGGGGATTTAATAGCGCAGGAGGTACACCACATATTTACTATCAAGGTATAATAATAAGT